GGGTTTGCACCCTGGTGGATTCATAAGGGATGAAGGTCAAGGGGGGGTGGGAAGATGCCCGAAGGCATACAGGAAGGTCTTAAGACAAGATATTCCTCCCTGCAATACTGCGATCGTATTGTGCCTCAACAGCTCTTGCTAATAAAGCTTTGATTACAAACAACTGTTTGATGCTGTGGATTGTAGAAATCCACAGTTAACTAATAATAATCCTTGCATTTGAAATACCGCCTTATCATGTCATTGAGACATCTCAAAGCCCTTCACAGAATATATTGTAAAGTGTAGTGAATGTGTATTTTGTGAGAAAAACACAGCAGCCAATTTCACGCAGCAGTGTCCCACAAACAGTCGTGGACTGAGTGACCAAATTATTTTTTTGAGAGGGATTATTACCCTTAACTAACAGTGAGATTATGATCAAAAAACACTATTCCTAACTGATCAACCCCATAATTAGATGCCGCATTAATCTGCACAGAGAGTTCGAAATTAATGAATGTAATACAGTTTCCTAAAATGTCAATATAGAAACAAAGTGGTACTGTCAATAAGAAAGTAACCCAAGTTCAATTTTAAGGGACAGGGACATTTAATCACTAACGCATTTCCCTCATCCTTTCCTCTATTCTTTTCAAACATACGAGAAATGGATTTACACTACACATTTTAACCCTTCTTTAAAATTTCTCAATTTCAAAAGATTTTTTTAAAAGAAAAGCACCAAGACTGCTTAGGACTGCCACCTGACATGTGAGATTCACCGAAACAAAAGTGAGGCTCGTCATTGGTGAACACTGTTGCCTCCACAGTCACACTGGAAGCCACCTCAGGAGCTTGCCCACCACAGTGAGAATCGGGTGAGGTCTGGTCAGGAATTCAATTACCCTGGGTGAAAAGTTAATACAATAAAATTCACATGAGTCACATGAGTTAGCACCATAACTTTTAATATGACTTATGTGAAGTCCATGTTCCAGGCAAAACCTGTATAAGTCGTATAAAAATTGATTTAATCAATAATCTGCACAGCACATGCATAATTCAATGCAGTTGGTAAGTGCGCATGTGGTATTTCGTCAGGAACCATTTAAACTGATAAGAACAGGAGCCCCAGAAAAGCGGGATCTCGGCCTGGGAACTAACACAGTAAACGTCTCCCGTTGTCTTGTTTGACCCTGAACTGTCCTTTCTCCCCCATATCCGTGCCATGACCGGCACTGCCTACCATCACCTCCGCAACATTGCCAGACTCCGCCACTGCCTCACCCCTCAGGCTACTGAAACCCTCACCCACGCATTCGTCACATCAAGGCTCCGTTATGGAAACTCCCTCTTCATCAACCTTTCCAAATCTTCCCTTCACAAGCTGAAGATCATCCCAAACTCTGCAGCTCGTGTACTCTCACGCACCAGGATCCACGACCCCATCACTCCCACCCTCGCCCGACTCCACTGGCTCCCCATTCCTCAGAGGATGGAATTCAAGATCCTCGTCCTCACTTTCAAGGCTACCCATGGCCTTGCCCCCTCCTATCTCTCTGACCTTCTGACTCCCTACCAACCTGCCCACTCCCTCCATTCAGCGGCTCCAACCTGCTCCATGTTTCCGTCTGACACATCCTACCATCGGTGGCCGGGCTTTCAGCCTCTCTGCCCCGGAACTCCATCCCACAGTCCGCTCGCTTCACTTCCTCCCTTGCCTCCTTCAAGGTAGGTCTCAATACCCTCCTCTTCGATCGTGCCTTCAGTCACCCTCCCAGGTCTCTGCCTTCCCTCACCCCTATCCCACCCCTCCCCCATGCTCAGGTCTTAACCCCTGACTGTTCAGTGCCTTGGGCGTCCTCCCGACGTGAAAGGCGCTCTATAAATGCAATTTTGTAGTGGTTGTTGTTGTTGTTGGTCACTGCAGCTGGGAAGTACGCATGTGGCTCCATTGAATCGTAGGAAATTTAGTTTTGAACCATTGACTCAGGTGCCTTTACCAACAAGCATTGGAATCGCATTGAATCACGGGAAATGAAGTTCTTCTGTGCATCCGTCGACAGATCATAACTATGATTCGTTTTCCATGATTCAATGCAGCCCAAGTAAGTGCCCATACGTCAATCGGTCAGGACGTCATTTCTTGCGATTCAATGCAGCCGGTAAGTGTGGCAGTAATGGATAGGGGAGCAGCATTAAGAGTTGATTAATCTGAATGGTACAAAGTTGCTCTGGTAGGAAACTGAATGGGACTCGGATGCACTTACGACTTAGGCAATTATACGATTTTTAAAGATAAGACTTAAGCAAGTTTTAGTGTTCCACTGAGCAAGCAGTAAGTGAACAACCTGGTCAGTCAGTCACTGAGCAAGTGACCTGTGGTCAATGAGGAGCTGTTCCCTGTCACTCTGTACAAGGTCAGTGAGTAGGTTGTCAGTCATTCACATTCAATGAGGGGTCTGAGTACCTGTTAGGTCAGTCAGTTTGTTCGAGGGGATTAGCAGTACCTGAGCAATCAGTCACTGTGAGCAAGTGGTCAGAAGTACCTGATCAGTCAGTCATACTGAGTGAGAGGTCAGCTAGTACCTGATCAGTCAATCATACTGAATGAAGGGTCAGTGAGTACCTGGTCAGTCAGTCACATTGAGTGACAGATCAGCAAAAAAATGGTATCTCACTCTTGAGTGAGGCGTCTCAAGACTTTTTTTTCATAGCATCCAGGCTTGACTATACCAACACCCTGTTCACCAGTCTCCACAGCTCCTTCCTAGACAGACGATCGAGAATTCTGAAGCCCTCGCCAACACAACGCTCTATGAGCCTATCACCCTATCCTCACACAGTTCAAATAGCTCCCCTTCCTCAGGGGATTGAATTAAAAGTCATGGTACTCACTTTTAAATCCTGATGCAACCTCGCCCCTACCCTGTCTCTGAGAACTCCTACAATCCCACCAACCCTGCAGCTCATTTCACTTAGTAAACACTGACCTGCTTGTACAACTTGTACAAAGTTGCTTTGATAGGAAACTGAATGGGACTCGGGTGCACGTACGACTTAGGCAATTATACAATTACAAAGATAAGACTTTGTTCCCCGCGCTATCTGCCTCACCATCAACAGGTGAGCTTTCAGTAATTCTGCCCCCACTCACTGAAACGCTTTCCCAGAGTCCTTCCCTTCAAAGTCCATCTAAAAACCTACCTTTTTGATCGTGCTTTAGGTCATATTTCTTCTCCCCATCGCCCCTTGGCTCCCACCTGCAGCTCAGGTACCCAGACAGCAGTGTTAGGTAGCTGTCACTCTGAGCCGGGGGTCAGTCAGTGGCTGTCACTCTTAACCAAGGTCAGTCAGTAGCTGTCACTCTGAGCCAGGGGTCAGTCAGTCAGTAGCTGTCACCCTGAGCCAGGGGTCAGTCAGTAGCTGTAACTCTGAGCCGGGGTCAGTCAGTCAGTGGCTGTCACTCTGAGCCAGAGGTCAGTCAGTGGCTGTCACTCTGAACCAGGGGTCAGTCAGAAGCTGCAACTCTGAGCCAGGGGCCATTCATTGGCTGTCACTCTGAGCCAGGGGTCAGTCAGTAACTATCACTCTGAGCCAGGGGTCCGTCAGTAACTATCACTCTGAGCCAGGGGTCAGTCAGTCAGTAGCTGTCACTCTGAGCCAGGGGTCAGTCAATCAGTAGCTGTCACTCTGAGCCAGGGGTCAGTCAGTAGCTGTCACTCTGAGCCAAGGGTCAGCCAGTCAGTAGCTGTCTAAGCGCTCTGAGACGCCGTCCGGCGTGGAGGGTGCTATACGAATCCAAGTAGTTGTTATTGTTGTCATCTGAACCAGGGGTCAGTCAGTAGCTGTCACTCTGAGCGAGGGGTCAGTCAGTCAGTGGCTGTCACTCTGAGCCGGGATCAGTCAGTGGCTGTCACTCTGAGCCAGGGGTCAGTCAGTAGCTGTCACTCTGAGCCGGGGTCAGTCAGTCAGTAGCTGTCTAAGCGCTCTGAGACGCCGTCCGGCGTGGAGGGTGCTATACCAATCCAAGTTGTAGTTATTGTTGTCACTCTGAGCCGGGGGTCACTCAGTCATTGGCTGTCACTCTGAGCGGGTCAGTCAGTGGCTGTCACTCTGAATCAGTCAGTGGGTCATCTGAGGGTCAGTCAGGCTGTCACCGGGGTCAGTCAGTGGCTGTCACTCTGAGCCGGGGTCAGTCAGTCAGTGGCTGTCACTCTGAGCCAGGGGTCAGTCAGTGGCTGTCACTCTGAGCCGGGATCAGTCAGTCAGTGGCTGTCACTCTGAGCCGGGATCAGTCAGTGGCTGTCACTCTGAGCCGGGGGTCAGTCCATCAGTCAGTGGCTGTCACTCTGAGCCAGGGTCAGTCAGTCAGTGGCTGTCACCTGAGCCGGGTGTCAGTCTGAGCCATCAGTGGCTGTCACTCTGAGCGGTCAGTCAGTCAGTGGCTGTCACTCCTGAGGCTCCCGAGGGGTCAGTCAGTCAGTGGCTGTCACTGTGACGTCCAGTGGGGTCAGTCAGTCAGTAGCTGTCACTCTGACCCGGGGCGTCAGGGTCAGTCAGTCAGTGGCTGTCACTCTGAGCCGGGGGTCAGTCAGTCAGTGGCTGTCACTCTGGCCGTGACGCCCGGGGGGTCAGTCAGTCAGTGGCTGTCACTGTGACCCGGGGTCAGTCAGTCAGTGCTGTCATTGAGCGGGGTCAGTCAGTCAGTGGCTGTCACTCTGAGCCGGGGGTCAGTCAGTCCACTGCGGGGTCAGTCAGTGGCTGTCACTGACCGGGGTCAGTCAGTCAGTGGCTGTCACTGTGACCCGGGGGTCAGTCAGTCAGTGGCTGTCACTGGCCGGGGGTCAGTCAGTCAGTGGCTGTCACTGTGACCGGGGTCAGTCAGTCGTGGGCCTGTGGGGGCAGTCAGGGGCTGTGACCGGGGGTCAGTCAGTCAGTGGCTGTCACTGTGACCCGGGGGTCAGTCAGTCACTGCCCACCGCAGGCCGCTGGTGACCCAGCAAACAGACTCTCACCTTCAGTACAGGTGTGAGGAACTCGGCCACCCCCAGCGCGGTCCCCTTGACGGTGTTGATCATGCTCTGCATGGCGCTGCGAGCCTGTGGCGGGCGGGGGCTGTCGCGCGGTGCGGTGCGGTGCGGGGCTGCGGATCTCCCTCCGCGCTGCTCCTGCGACTCCTTCCGCAACTCAAACTCGCGCCTGCGCACTACCCGCCTGCCAGCGCGGACCAACAAGAGCGCCTGACCGAGCTCGCGCAGGCGCACTGGCTTCCCGCCGCTTCCCGCGGAGGGGGCGGAGGGGCCAAAAGAGCGAAACGACGCCTGCGCACATGCTGCCTCCCTGCCAGTCGCGGGTGACGTTTTGCGGCTCGAGCGGTCCGGCCGCGCATGACGCGCCCCAGTGCCGCTGCTCCCTCGCGCCGCCTGCGGAGCCGCGCCTGCGCGGTGGCCGGAGCTCCGGCCTGGGGTGTGGGAGCGGAAGGTGAGGTCAGGCGGCGGCCCTGACAGCGCTGAGCCAGTGAGAGCGCACCCGGTGCCAAGGCCTTCAGCCGCCCTCCTCCCCACAGGTAACACACACGCTGAGCTGCCTCCCGGTTTGCGGACAGGTTGGCCCGCAGGTCCCCCTGTTTCCTGGCCATCTTTAAAGCCCGTCTTGAGACCTTTTTCTGCCCCCAATGCTTTGGGTTCCCTTTACTCCCTTCCTCCCCCTCCCCCCCCCCCCTCACCACCTGCTGCTCGCAACGCTTCATGCACGTGTAAAATTGTTGTCAGTCTTGTCCAACCTCCTGGACTGCAGACTGAGACTTTGTTGTCATTAATCCCAGACCTTCACATTGTTGTGTCTGGTACAGAGAGCAGCTGTCATGGGGCCTGGCCGCAGCTGGACTCCGGTCCTGGGTCATTCGCTGTACTGTAACCCGGTGCCAAGCTGTGCGCGTCGCTTCACAGTAATAAATAAATCAATCCGGCTGCTCCACGTCTCCCCCGCCCAGTCCGCCCCACCTTCGGCGGTCAGGCCTTCACCCCTTTGCCCCCACCTTCTGGAACTCCATCCCATATTCTCGTGACCTCGCTCGCTCCATCCCTTGCCTCCTTCAAGGCACACCTCAAGACCCTCCTCTTCGACCGTACCTTCGGCCACCCTCTGTGCCCTCCACCCTCCCTGATCACAACCCCCTCCAGTCCTAATCCCTGATTGTTCAAATTCTTGGGACATCCTCCTGACATGACAGGTGCTTTATAAATGTAACTGTGTATTGTATCTTGGTGAGGTGTGAGGTGCAGCTAATTGCGCACAGCAGTGTCCCGCAACCAGTCATGGATTGAAGTGACCAATTTATAATTTTTTTTTTGTTTTGAGGGATTATCATCAGGTGTGTGGTGTAAGGAAACTTGCCCAAGGTTTCGACATGCCGGGAATCGAACTCAGGTCTCTCTTGCGAGCTGAGTGCTCTAACCACTGAGCTGCAGGACTCCACGTGGTTAACATAGTTCACAAATTATCACCTTTTGAGAAATTTGAGAAGGGTTCCACTACTAACTACTTCTAGTACTAGTTTTTGTTCAGAGATAGAGAATTCCCTGCATGGATATTTTATCTAAATCTAGTTGAAACGTGGAATAGTGAAAGTTTATAATAATAATCCTTGCATTTGACATAGAGCTTTTCACGTTTTCTAGACGTTCCAAAGCGCTTCACAGACTATACTGTAAAGTGAATTGACTGTATATTTGTGGGCGAACGCGGCAGCCAATTGCACACAGCAGTGTCCCACAAACAGTCATGGATTGAAAATGACCAATTTATTGTTGTTTTGGGTTTTGGAGGGATTATTATTAGGTGTGTGGAGTAAGGAAACTTGCCCAAGGTTTCGCCCTGCCTGGAATTGAAAAGCGAGTGCTCTTAACTACTGAGCTACAGGACTCTACCTTATCTGGCTCCAGCTTAGTAATTTTAGTAAAATTATTTACTTTGTAATTTTATTTTGTCTGGGTAACATTTTTTTTTCTTACAATATTCAGGTAAACAGTTATTTGCAAAGGAGAATTACGACAGATGAAGAGTTTCGACATGACGCAGTTGTGTCACCCATTGGACATCCATTGAACTTTCTCAAAGGACCATTTATTTTAATTGTAAGTAATGTGTGTACATTGCTATTTTTTTGTTACAAAAAAATCACTTTAAGATATCCACGTTAATGTGGTCTTTGGTTATTCTAACTGCTTCAAAAATATTAGATGCATTGTGACTCATTCCTCTCAAAAATAACAACTGCTTGCATGCATTATAGTGGAGCAAAACCCTTTATTCAAACACATTTGTCTTCGCTGTAGCTCCTCCTTCACTGTAGCTCCACCTGCCCCGGCACAGTCACATTCTATGCTTAGTCCTTTTGTTTTCCTCATTTTTCCCCTCATTTTATAATCTCTTCCCTTGGCCACATCATCTGCAGATATGGAGTTCACCTTTCCATGTATTCAAATAACAACTCTACCACTCTGCTGCCATTTTCACTTTCACTGAGGCAGAGCAGGAGTTAGAGCAGTGTGGAGATTGAGTGGTGGAGAAAGGAGAGGTGATAAGGTGCTATATCAAATGCAACAATTGTTATTATTTTTAAACCTTTCATCCTTGACCAAGTCTGCTTTCTTCTATCTGCAAATTTACCTACCTGAGACTTAGAATGAGAGTTCCTATCTCTTCCTTACTCCAATCGCAACTTCATTCACAACTTTATTGCCTCCAGCCTTGATTTCTCCAGTGTTCTCCTTGCCAGCCTTCCTACCTCAACCTCCCATAAGCTTCACTTTATTCTGAACTCCATAGCCCATGTCCTTTACTGCACCCGGCTCCACAAGCCCTGTCTTGCCAGGCTCCCCTTTTTCGTAGTGGATTAATTTAGAAATCCTCATTCTAAGTTTCAAACGTTTCTATGCACCTGCCCCACTCTGGTTCTATAATCTCCTGAGGTCCCACTTCCACCACTCTGCTAACTCAGGTCTGTTACGTGCCCCCACCTCAGCATTGGCAGGAGTGTTTTCAATCACTACCCCACTCTGGAACTCTCTTCTTCTCTGTTTTCTAAAATCCTTTCTCTATAACTGTGCCTTCAGTCATCCTTCTCCTACCTCCCCTCCCCCACCAACCAATCTCCACACTGCTCTGACTCCTGCTCCACTGGCTCCCTATCCCTCAGAGGATCCAGTTCAAGATCTGTTCGTCACATACAAAGCCCTCCATGGCCTCGCCTCACCCTACCTCTGTAACATCCTAACCCCCTAACAACCCGCCTGTTTCCTCCGCTCAGCTGGCTCTGGCCTGCTCCACGTCCCCTGACCCACCCGCCCCACCATTGGCAAGAGAGCCTTCAGCCACTCTGCTCCCAACCTCTGGAATTCCATCCCCCAGTCACTCCGCCTCGCCCCCTCCTTAGCCTCTTTCAAGTCCTGCCTCAAGACGCTCCTCTTCGACCATGCCATCGGCCCCTCCCTTCCTCCCCCCAACCCCAATTCGGGTCAGAAATGCTGTACTCTGACCAGCACCTTGGGACGTCCTCCCGACGTGAAAGGCGCTATACAAATGTAATGTTGTTGTTGTTGCCTCAGTAAAGCACTTTGAGACATTATTCTATGTTATAGGTGCTATGTAAGTGCAAATTCTGTTTTTGACTGGAGTTCAGTTTGGCAACTGTCACATCCCTGTCTCAAAATGTTTTCTTACTGTATTGTTGACAGATACTGTATTTCCCCGTGCCACAATTTGAGATGGCGTCCAAACGTTGCTCCTCCTTTTGTTCTCGGTCAACAGTGTATACACTGGTTTTGGGAGCGCTCTTTGTCAGCCTTGGCTCTGGTCGGATTCTCCTCATGAAGTTCTCTGCTAATGAAGGTGGCATTCTATTTGTTTTACTTTCAGTTTGTATGGTTGCCTAAAATTTATTTGCACTCTAATGTCACGTTTAATTGGAAGTCTTTATGGGCTCTTAGTGAAAGTCAAAGCAAAGGATTTACAGTTGCTATTCCTGTTTGTTGGAAATCATATGCAAGGATTATTAAATTGCCTCATCTGAGAAGTTTGGTTCCATGTTTATAGTGCCTTTCACGTCGGGAGTAAGCACATCCTCCCGACGTGAAAGGCGCTCTACAAATGTAATTTGCATTATATTGTATCTTTAAGTGGCATTGAGGCCATGGTTTCCAAAAAGTGCACTGAAACTTGTGAAATGTTCCTGAGACATTGGAGACCAGAAACAGACAGTAAGGCCATGATTGCATTGTCATGGCAAGTGGTACATTCTCTCCTCAATGTTACAGTAGTGTAATATGTTTAAACAGGTCTGGCTCTAAAGTAAAGTGGTTCTGATGAGGTTTGATAAGACAGGCTGTTCAGGCAGCATTATGGTGTAGCACACTGGAGCACCAGAGGATGGTGCTGTGTACATAGCAGATGAGATGCAGTTTCTTTTCCCCACTCTGCTGGGCTGTTGTAACCCAGTGCTTCTGTGGCAAGTTGCAAGCAGTGACGTTAAAGAGAGTCTTCACTGTTTGCAGGATTATCAGAGCCCTGAGAATGAAGAATAATTCCTGCATTTGATGCGCTTATACAGTATTGTCAAAACCTCTCAAAGTGAACTGCTGTCAAGTGTAGTTATTAAGTATTTTATAGAAAACCCAGTAGCCAATTTTCACACAGTAAAATCCCACAAACATCTATGAAGTGAATAATCAATTATTCTGGAGGATCATTGACAAGGACACTGAGAGAAACTCACTCTCTTTTCAAATAGTGTGATGGGATCTTTCACATTTACCTGAAAGGGAGACTTGACCTTTTTGTAATGCCTCATCTGAAGGATGGCATCACTGATAATGCAGCGCTTCCCCCAGCACTATATAATCTGCGAGGAGTAAAAGTAGAATGTTTCCCTGCATAATTACAGAAATTTGTGTTCAGTTTAATGCTGTGCATCATTATAACTAGCCACAGTGTCTTTTTATGCTTCCCAGAGAGCGTATACAATTACTTGCCTGCCACAGTGAATTTATGTGCAGAGGCTGTAAAGTTGGCATTTTGCACCATTTTATCGCTAAGGGTTCTGATACAGGGTAAGTTTAAAATAGTTTGTCTTTGACTTCTAGGATGTTTTACATATAACTAATTTTATGGGTCTATTAAATGGCTATTACACATGTGATTTTGAACTATGTCTATAGCACTAAATATTAAACAAACTAGTGCAATTATAATAATTGTTTTCAGATGTTCATGTGCATAAAGGGGGGACAGAAAGAGAGCTTTATGATTTACTAAAATAGATCTGTAAATTCCACGGGGTGGGAGAGCAAAAGCTTCAAGAGCATTTATTGTAATCTAATCAATAATCTTTGTCTGACAGCAATTGTTTTAATGTCAACTCACACTAAGTGTCTCACACCTAACATGGGATTTTATATGTTTGAATCTGATCCTCTTTGAGGTGAATGTGTTCTTAATATGTTGAAAAAGCATTGTCAAGTTATTATTCTCTTTATATTATATATGTTTATTGTAGAATTGTCTTCCTTTCTCTTTTTCTCAGAAGGACAGACGTGCAAAGATTTGGGATGTTCTTCTTGGCAGAACTTTCTTGCGTTTATGAAATGGTCTGTTCCAGCATTTCTCTACTTTGTAGATAACTTAATCTCCTTCTATGTGTTGATCTACCTTCAACCAGTAAGTAACTACAATTGGATTAATTAGACATAAAATACTTTTACATTATCCTTGAAAACAGGCCTGGTTAAATCTAGTAATAATATATATTTGCTAGTGATAAAATACATAACTCTCAAATTAATAACTTATTGCCATGAATACCTGTTTTTCTTCTTGATGATGTCATTCTCTTTCCTGCTTCAGCTTCTAAAAGCCTGAAGACTTACTGGTGCATGTGTGTTTTAAGTGTCACTATAGTATAGACAAAGCTGGGTAGTGGGTTTCAGTTTAATTTGATTTTAAGATGTCCTGCTGCATGCAGAGTGCAGCCACCATATTTTCTTTACTCATTGCCTTTGTCTGAATAAACAGCTGCCAAATTAGTCGAGTCTAAATCTCCAGAAGTCATGCTGAAGCTCTACAATCCTCTTGTCATATCGTACCTAGAGTCCTACTTGCAGTTCTGGTCGCCATGACATAAAAGGGTTGCCAAGACAGGGTTGCTAATTGACCTCAGCAAAGATAGAAATGAGTATTAATTGTGTATGTTAACTAGAAAGTTTATTATGGGTGCTATGTCAAATGCAAGATTTATTGTTATAGAATTTAGTGTACTGAATGTATTGATAAATTGTGCATTACAGTGGATTTTCAGATGTGTGTGTTTATGAGATCGCAATCTTTTCTTTCCCCCTCAGATGACTAAGAACAATTTACCTGTGAAGCATTAAATAACTAGATTTTAAAAATTTCCTTTTCTACAGGCAATGGCGGTCTTGTTCTCAAATTTTGTTATCATCACAACGGCTCTTCTATTTCGTATTGTTCTGAAGTAAGTTGGCCCACCAAGTAACCACAGCAGGAAATGAAAGTCTGACACATTTAGCAGTACAGAAATCTAACATCTGGTTATAAAACAAGGTTGTTCTGTGATGTGGGTTCTGTGCTCATATCTGCATTGACAGAGTGCAGCTGCCATGTTTATAGTGCTGGCTCTCAGCCAAATGGTTCTGTAACTAATTGAGTACTTCTGTGCCATTTATTTTACATACTTTTACATACTTGAGATTGTTTAAAAAAGAGTTCTCTATCTTTATTATGATACAGTAGGGTAACAAATAGTATGGGTAAATAGTTCTGTTATGTAATGTCCTATGTAATGTGCTGCATTTGAACTAGTTGTGACATGAAACCTACACCAGAGATGGGCTTAGTTGAAGCCAAGATAGAGTTTAGACATGCATCTTTCAGGAGTAGGCTGAAAATTCAAGATTGATTTTAAAGGTGCAGTGTTTAAATGTGTGCTTTTCGCCACAGGTTTACAGTACTTTCATAATCTCTTGCTCACTCACTTGCGTGCACCTTTATCATGCAATAACTTGGTACATCAACAGCAAAATTATTGTATGATAATGAAGGTGGATGTCTAAATGATTTAAGAAGACAGTAGTTCATGATGCACCCTCAGTACAATGTTATACTGTGATCTATTATGTATCATTTCCCCAAAGTTACAATGCAATCTTCAGGGTACATCATGAACATTTAATCTTCATTTTTCAGATATGGGGAATGTAAAGGTAAATGCTTTCATTTTTGGTTTGGTTTCCATGCCGAGGGTCTCATTCTCTTCAGCAGTGTCCCAGCAGTCTTCTTCTCAGTCCTCTTAGAACACAATTCTGCCCAATCAACATTTATAGCCCTTCTCCAGCTGTTCTTTCAGCTCTTGATCTTCAAAGCAAAAACATTTACATCTATAAAGAGAGTAGCGAGGCAATACTACAACAAAAAGTTTTGGTGTGCGCTGGAGATTGCTGTTCTAATGTTATCAATCCTGCAGCCAACAATTAGATAGCAGTATGACGGGAGATGACAAATGTTGATTTCTAGATGATTTTAAGGTGGTTAAAAGCACAAGGCCATAAACTAGATGGTTTCCCTAACTTTCTTCCCTTATACGTTCATTCTCAATATCAATATTTTTACTGGGAACTGTTTCCTTGTCAACCAAACATTTGTTTTTCATGTAAACGGAGATGTCGAGGATAAGTGTTTGACAAGGTATTTAAAGTGGGGGGTCATCCTCGTCAAACTCTTATCTTTTCATTTGATCCTTCTTGTATCAATAAAAAAAAGGTGGTCCAAAACCTTCCCTTATCTAAATAATTTAAAATGTTGCACAACGTTTTAAATAAAGTTCAGGAAACAAGATGCATTTCATAATAGATGTGACCCATTTCAACAAAAAGTAAGTCAGTCAACTACAGGTTCTAAAATGTGTTCATTGTTGTGTAAAGCCACTTGTCATCTGTAGATTAACAAGTTGCAATCAGGTAGTAATTATCAGGTTTTGCTTTCAAACCAGGCGGCGTCTATCCTTGGTGCAGTGGGCATCGCTCGTGATTTTGTTCCTTTCCATCGTTGCACTCGTATCAGGGACTGGAGTAGACCAGCATGTGCCAATGCGCAAATTAAGTCACCACAACCTCCACAATACTTCCAACAGCTGTGTTCTCACTACGTCTCAGGATAAAAACATACAGGAAATGATGGAGAGAAATTCCACAGCGCTCATTGATCTACCTTCAGAATGGGACTTGGGTATATTGAAAAAGCTGAGCTTTGGTTTCGGCCATTTCTGTATAATTATACAGTGCTTTGTTGCTTCCTCGGCGAATATCTACAATGAAAAAATCCTGAAAGAAGGAGATCAGTTGACTGAAAGTATTTTCATTCAGAACACCAAACTGTACCTTTTTGGAGTTGTATTCAATGGATTGATACTAATGATTCGCTCTGAATACCGTACCCACATTCAACATTGTGGCTTCTTCTATGGACACAATCTGTTTTCTGTGGCACTAATTTTTGTCACCGCTGCCTTTGGACTTTCTGTCGCTTTTATCCTGAAATTCCGAGACAACATGTTTCACGTTCTCACCGGACAAATAATAACTTTGATTATTACTACAGTATCTATTTTCATATTCAAATTTAAACCATCTTTGAGCTTCTTTTTAGAAGCCCCAGTTGTGCTGTTGTCTATATTTATTTACAATTCCAGCAGGATAAAGGACCCAGAGTATGCATTACTACAGGAACGACTGAAGGTTATAAATGGTGAACTTCTAGAGCGTTCGAGTGGGGTAAGAGGTTGACTGCTAAAAAATATTTTCTATCTGAAAAGATGCATTTTTTCTAATTTTCTTTTCTAGGGAGGCAGGAAGCTCCTCTCCAATTTTATCCTCTCTTGCAACCAAGCTGTCTTAGTGGTGCAGTTCCACATTCCCAAGCCACACAATTGCACTCGCTTGAGTGGCCTTTCTTCATGTGTGAACCTGGGAAAGGAGCGCTTGTTTTGTTATTCAGTTATAGGCATTGTCTGTTGTTATTCTTAAGCACTATAACCACTTCAACAAAGCTTTAGGTATTTTACAGTTGAATAAATTACAGATGAAATACTGTAAGCTTTTTGACTTTATAATCCTAGGAATTTTGAAAAGAACAGAAATACAAACATTGAAATCAAAAAGGGTTTTCTGCCAACCTACAATAATATGTGCTTCTTTGCTTTTAGGATGGTGAGGAGTTGGAGAGGTTGACAAAACCAATACTGATACCGAAACAGAGGAAGATTCCTTCTAGTTTACGACACTTAATTATTTATTGTTTTTTTTAATTCTGAGCTTAATGAATGGACCCTTTTCTAGGTGGTATGTGACTTAGTTGCTTCATGCATTTGACTCATTGTGTATCCAGAAAACCACAGACTTCCTTCAGTGTTATGTTACAAACCCATTTGAGAACCTTTCATTACATTGTAGGGCAGCAGCAAACTGTTCCAATAGTCATATCAAAGATGTGTAACTCAGACCTCTCACTTACAGTGAGAACCCGACAGAAGAAAATAGGCATTAGGAGCCTAATGTTAAAGATTGGACTAATGTATTGAGAGCGATATAATGGAACTAAATTGCACATCCTCTGGTTCTGGGGTGTTGCTTGGTATTTGTAGCCATTATAAAAACTCAGTGCTTCCTGTTATATTTAACTACGAGGTCCAGAGGATCATGACATTCTGACTAAATTGCCAACTGGACAACTCAAAACATTTTCTTAGTTCACTTTGATCTAACTTTACCAAAAAGTTTGTTGCTGAATTGAACGGACAAATGTGGCTTAAACAATGTGAACAATGCAGAGGAAGTGTATAATGTAGTTTGTAAGAGAACAGGGCCCTTTCTCGTCTTTTCTGCCTTTTGGAAGAATACTATAGATTGAGAAGGCTAAGGGATCATGTTGCTTCTCTGTAGAGTAGTAAATCTGGAGATATATGACCCATCAGTTGATGGAAACAATGCTGCGTTTGCTAAGTTAAATGTATCCCTTTAGGGTGTGGTGCAAGACTTGCATGCTGACTCAGGAAATCAAAAGAAAAGATGAGAAAAAGCCTAAACATTTTACAAATTGTGTGCGAGTACACAGTGACACGATTTGAAGTGCTTGCTAGATTTTGATTTTAAATGAAATCAACTTCTTAAAAGATGTATAATGCTTTCTAGATACATCTCATTGTAGCAGTTTGGGGGGGATTCAATTGCTGAGCAGTTAAATATGAATTTTTGTAAAATGATAGAAATTCTGTAAATAACATGCAATTCAGTTAAAAGGTTGCAATGGATCATTCTGAAAAATTTTGCTATTTCAGTTCAGTATGTTAACCCAGTCACATCATAGAAAATAAATGTGAAATTATTATTTGACTTCCCGTTCTTTTATGAATCGAACAAAGCTCCTTAGCAAGCATGTCCAGTTGATGTATGTGAGGCCAGTTATATACACAGCAGCATAATTCATTCCATAACCAAATAACCTTTGGACGATATGGATCAAATGGCCTTTTTTTGTTCCATTCTTCCATTCACAAAGAACTGTGTTTATGTGCCAATATGACAGATCTAGTGAATCATTGCTCTGTAGAGAAAGAATTCCACAACACCAACCACATTCATAATCCAAGGCAATTGTATCATTGGGGGGAAAATACACAATTGTAATAATTTATTAAAAAATTTGAAATCAAAAGTTAAATGATGTTATTGTGTTTGAATGTGAAAGGTTGAATTCTCTTAAAACTTTACTAGTCTATTTTATGTTTAGTGAAAATAACTTCCATTCACTATCCCAACTGATCTGCAGTTACGTCATGTTTGAAATTGGCTTTGGTTTCTCATTAAATTTATTTATAAAGGTCCAGTACATAGAGAGAGGATGGGGAGACAGAGAGAATCTTAGCACCTGCCTCAGATATGAATATGTAGTTTTGAATATCACTTGTTAGTGATGGTTATAGAGTACTTTAAATTTTATTGCTGGAATGTGATTGTTAAAATCTTTGAAATCCATCTGGTGTCATAGGCCTATAGACCTGTTATAGACCTATATCTTGGCCAGATAAAGTGCAATGACTGTCTCACAGGCAAACATGTCAGCTACTCTGAACTAGCAGTGTCCACAGAAAGCAGTGAGTTGAATGACCTGTGAGTGAATCTTTTCTTGTAAAGCAAAATCGTAATAAGAAATACATTGGCCATATAAAACATAACCGATTGTTCCATTGGGTAGCACTGACCCTTAGGCTATTGAAGGATTGGAGCCACAAGTTAGTGATCTTATATGCTAGGAATTTTTATCAGCAGCTGCTTCACTTATTTTTTAGAGTTGGCATTGGAAGGAGGAGAAATATCAGAAGTAGCAAAACATTTCATCTACGGTTCTGGTATTCACTGATCGTATGATCTGTTAATTTGTCTAATTACAACAACAACAAATTACCTTTGTATAACGCCTTTCACGTTGGGAGGACCTAAGGTGCTGGAAGGTCAAGGATTTGCACTGGAGTTGGGGGTTGGGATCAGAAAGGGTGGCGAGCAGGGAAGGTATGGTCAGGAGGGTGACTGTAGGCACGATCAAAGAGGAAGGTCTTGAGATGGTCATTGAAGGAGGAAAGGAAGGGTGAGGGCCTAAAGGCAGAAGGCCCGGCTACCGATGGTGGGGTGGGCAGGAAAGGGGCCATGGAGCAGGCCAGAGCTCGCTGAGCGGAGAGAGCGGACAGGTCGGCATGGAGTTAGCAGGTCACACAGGTAGGGAGGAGCAAGGCTGTGGAGAGCTTTGAAAACGAGGACAAGGATTTTGAACTCTATCCTCCGGGTGAATGGGGAGCCAGTGGAGCTGGGCCAGGATGGGAGTGATGGGTTCACATGTTTAACATGAAGGATGCTTTGTAAATGCAAGCTGCCATAGCTATCAATTGCACCAACTACGATGATACATTTGGATCATGGGGTAAAGGAGGTATTTTAAATTTCTCAGAGCCCATGGAGAGAAATGTAAAATCTCAAACTACAAATGTTTTCACATGTAATGAATAATACTTGAGCAAAATTCACTCTGATACTTTGGAAGCTACTTGTATTACTTTCTAAAAATCTCCAGATGTCACTAAGAAGTATTCAACACTGAACATTTATTTAATTTGACCTTTTCTCCAGTGGTTTCATCTTCTAAAATTGTATTCACCATAAACAACCGATTTACTGTATTTTTCCTATGATTCTACCTGCATGTCATTGTCAAAATAGGAACATAATTTCTTATGCTTGCATGCCTACAGAATTGTTTTTTTATATAAACTATGTAAGTGGACAAGGCAAACAAGCCAAAAGTTGAATGCTGCCATGTAACTACAACTGATTAATTGTGATGAAAACATTGTTAGGTTTTCTTTAAACACAATGGAAAAAGTGAGTTGCTAACCAACAAAATAATTATCTTTGTGATTAATGTTTCATATGGATTCAAGTGTGTTTAGAGGTCAGAAGTATGAAGGTGCTCATTTAAAGTAGGCTATTCCAACAGTAATCCTTAGGCAGAGCCTGTACTTTTGCTGGAAACATCTAGCATGGGTAATTGCCCGATTTTTTTTACATCCACTGAACTTCTAAACCCTGTTTTCAGACACCCGGAGAAAACAACCAATTCAATGGATTTTCAGAACTAGAGTTAAAAGTAAATCACCATTAATGAAAACTTATTTTACTGGTGCATATTTGTTCCTTTATTAAAATGATTGTGCTCCAAGGTGAATGATCAATGTACAATCTTAATCTTTATTGATCATGTATTATAAACAGACAAGCCCGAACCTCATTGCAAATTCTCCTGACATCCACCTGGAGGAAGTGCTTTCAGTAACAGTATGACTTGTACCATCCAGTGCCCAGGTTTGGTGTGAGTTGTACTGAGCCCTTTCTCCTAATTGAATGGCAAAACATCTTTAATGGATAAAATGTTATTCCAGAACTGATCGTGAGATTGGCAATTTGAAATATAAAGCTTCTTTTAAAAAATGCCTGATGTGAGTATTTGATCCCAATGTTTAGAACACTAAAGTTAAGCATTTGCCTTTTGTTCTGACTTAAATCAAAGGGAATATAAATTGAACTTCCCAAACCACAGCACTGCATGGCTGGAAACAAAGAGGCTCTTTTCCCAGCTGTACAAATGCAGTAGAATACTACGCTGCAAGAGATTAATGTTCAGACAATTACTCTCCTTGAGCAAGACCTCTATAACATGTATATAAAAAAATTGTTTATTAAAGATCTGGCATTAAAACTAATAAAGCAATTTTATATATCCCTTTATTCCTACTTTACATTTTCAATGTTGGTTTTTTCTAACCAAAAATCTTCACACTAATGTACTACAATTGTGTATATGTGCAAACAGTGCGAAGCGAGATTAAGTACCCTAAAATTAAAATAGTGCTGACCGTAACCACGGACTGAAGGAAAAGAGAGTACACCATGTTTATTTTCTAGGCACCATGAGCAGTGTTTTGATTTTTCTGTTACAGCAACAGTTCTTTTTACCAACCAGTCAGATTGCTGTTATTAATGTTTGCCCACATAACAATGATCCAGAAAGCATTTTACATATTATAGTACATTGATACAAAATGAAAGGAAGGAATAAATTGTGGCTAATGCTATTATCTTCCCCATTTACCAAACTCTTCAAAAGGTGTGAGAATACCACATAATACTGATAGCTGTCTGCTTTCTAATAACATTATACTTGTTTAAATTATAAGTATTTCTAAATGTATTCACCGCAAAAGAAGGCACACACTATGGGCTACTACATAAGCTCAGTGGGATTTCTAGCCACTTCCAAAAATAAACAACAGTACACATTTTCTTCAAATCTGAATGAAGTTATCCCTAGTTCAATTCTGAGAATAGAAGTGATTATAATCTGCAATGATGTACATTTATGCCAATAGGCATCCTCGTTACATCTGAGCATTCTTAAAGTGTTAATGTGAAGAGGAGAAAATACCGTTTGTGGGATCTCCAGGGAAAAAATGGGACGTGGAAAGAAATAGGAATGATAAAAAGAAAAATCTCCAACATTGAAAAACATTTGACATCCTCCACATAAGATATTCAGAGAAAAAGAATGGACATGGGATTAAATGATCTGCTACAATGTAATATAATGGCGAAACTGGCTTGATTGGCAGAATGGCTTATTTGGGTTCCTATGTATAATTTATTTTAGTGGTGTTTACAATTTTATAACTTTTTTATTATGTTTTATTTTATTATGTTTATTAAAGGCAATTGTCTCTCCCCTCATGAATTTCCCTCCTATAACCGTAGAATGATGGTTACCATTCTTCAACCCTTCAATCCCACAGTTTCGTTTTAACCAAATGTAGTTTAGTAAGATGACATGTCTAGAGTTTTAAAACATTGCTTGGAATATAATTGATTTGTGTGAATATTATGTAGAATTGTTTGATGCAGTATTACTAGCAGCCATTAAATCCTGTACATTGGCATTCCACTAGCTGACCGTACTGTGATCTTTGGCGTATCTTTCCTTGTACTGTACTGTTTTGTAGGTGTGTGATTGCATTACTTGTGTTTGCCATTGCATCAGCCATGTGATACTAATGGCAAAGTGCCCTGTATTTTTATTAGTACAGGCTCAGATACGTTCTTCTGTTAAGCAGCCAGCACTAACACCAGCTGAATTTTTTTAAAATTCTGCAATTATTTTTGTCCTTAAACTGTCGATGCACAATGAGGATAATGACAATCATTCTCTCCACTTTGCTCCTTTGATATTTTTGGTTGGAGTCCCATTTCTACATTAAACAACTTTTAACTCTGCTCCACAATAAATTCATTGAAAAGGTCCAATTATGAATGCAGAGTTTCCATGTGAAAGCACAGTCTTATGGCCATGGAAAACAATGCAGCTATGTCCTTTAGTAGCATCATCTTTATGGAATTTCTTAAAAATAAAGAGGGCTATTAGTCAGATAGTCCACTATGGTCATTTGTTCCATAAGTCAGCAGTGACTCAGAACTTGAAGAGATTTTATCAGGGATGCAGTCATGGAATAATTGCAGAACACAACAGACAATTCATTTTTTCTCCCCCAAAGCATTTCTCTTAAGTTTTTGTTTCAAATGACTTGTCAAATCGGTATCAAATGTAGTTTTAGATTTAGGTTGCTGAAGAATTTGGTTCTTGGGATTTGCAGAATTTGAGTTGAAAAAGGTTGCAGTTTTCTCCTTAGTAATGGTATCCACCGTGATAACCTTGTTGGTAATAACCGTGCTGGTAACCGTATCCATATTCGTGCTCTGGACAGCGCACCCCCAGTGATTGCTGAATGGCCATTTCTTGTCTGCGAAGCTGCATGGAATCAACAAGGTCATATACAATGGCCATATTCCACATTGGAGTTGGATACCAAGACTTGACATTTCCATCTTTCCCAACCAGTAGCATTGCGAAATACTCTGCAGTCACTTGGAAATAGTTTCGGATGTCCATTACTAGGGACGTGGAGAGTTCTTCACGATCAACACTTGAGGTTCCTGGAGATGTGACAAATAAAACAGTAATTCTTTTATATGCCAAATGAATCTTTAAAACTTTAACTGAAATATAATTTATGTGATTATATTATCAATATTATTTTCAAAATCCCAATGTATTGCAGCTTCCCTGCTGGCTCAAATGGCAATGCCACTATGTAGTGTGAATCGGAGAGCAATACAATAGCTTGGGACATCCTCCTGACGTGAAAGGAGCTATACAAATGTAATCTTGTTGTTATTGGTCTGCACTCATCTGGCTAATTTCCATTGGGGCACTACAATTTGCTTCAGCATCCCTGAGCTAGGGAGGGAAAAATCAACCAAGATTCTTATTTGCGATTACTGTGTAGTGACTCTGCCGGAAAGTATATTTATAATTTACCAGAAAACCAAATTGGGCTCAACTTACGTGCCCCCCACCCCCAACAATCAAATATACAACAAGAACTTGTATTTATATAGCACCCCTCATGAAGGATAGCGTCCCAGAGTGCTTGACAGTAACAGAGCATGACGCCGAGCCCGAGGCAGGGAGGAGGTGACTAGGCATGGTTGAAGATGCAGAAGTGTAAGCAATCCCAGAAATCTTGGTAGCCTTAAATTGACCAAATAAAATTACAAAAACTCATGGAACTGTTTACTTCATAAAAGCTGACTATATGACTCAAATGCATGAATCCCAAGACATGCGAAAACAAGTGGAAGTATGCTTACAGGCTAAAGTTTCAGCATCATCGCTGATAAGGGTCTCTCTGTGGGCAGATTGCTTTATGTTAGCTACACAGTGGATGTTGAATCTGTGGTACTCAAAACTTGTTTGAAACAAACTGTTGGAATTTTGATAAAGGCGAAAAGATGTTGACAACGATGGATATCAGTGACAGGATGAGACTGTCTGACTCAAAAGATGTTTTTAGTGGAGCTGAATTCCAGATGTCTTTACAAGGTCGATGTGTACATTTTTACAAGCTATAAATATAAGGATAATTCTCAATGAAGGAGAAGAATTGAGTTTGGGGGAAGAGCTGAGTTTTGGGAATGAAGCCGTTAACCGTCACCAATCTTGAGAAAAGAGGGATATACTACAATCAACATGGATCAACGCATGTTAACAAGTTGATTTCTCCATCAAAGCCACTACATCAATCCGATCAACTCATTGCAGTGAACCTTACTAACCCTTCGTAAGCATTAATTTGATGAAATGTATAACTATGATACATTTCTTTACTAATCTTTTAATTTAAAATCCCATTGGATTTTTAAACTCATCTGCATCATTTTATTGGCAAATCTTAGATGACTTAGGTACTGATCACTTAACTACAGCTATTTTCCTCTACAGCAAGACTGTGCTGCTCACAGAGCAGATTGGCCTTTGTGGTACATTTTTCATATAATTTATTTTATTACAGTAATAAAGACACTTGAATAAAAGCCATGGGAACAATAGAAAACTCAACTCTAAACAAAATGCAGTAGGGTATACAAAGTACACAAATATTTATTCTATTTTAATTCACTCTATCTGGTAGTTATAAAAGAGATTGCTTACAGATGTCAACAGTTGCTTGGGTAATTCTGCCAAGTTTGGGGCAAGTTTTGACAAAAGTTTGTTAAGCTCTTTATGATACACATTCCCAGCGGTCATTGTGGCCTACATTGGTCCACTCTGACTCTTTTTATATGGTTTACATTTATTCTACTATAATTTTCTACTCTGCTATAATTTTCTCCCCTCCATTCCTTAAAAATATCTCTATTGCAGCATAAAAAAAAACCACTGGATAAGAAATAGAAGCAGGAACAATAACATAATTATCTGATCTTTAGCTTATGAGGCTTCAGGCCAATTGTAGTGCCCCTACATGTTCCTCTGACTGAGGTCAACTAACTAACAGACTTTTTAATCATTGTGTATTGGTAATACTGGAAGTGGAATAAATCAACTATCATATAATCAAAATTGCCACAAAAATGTGTCAACCAGTATCTTGTTCAATTTAGATTTACTAGAGTAAATTTCTATGATAATGATGCTTACCTTTGATATAGTGCCTTTCACATCAGGAGGACGTCCTAAAGCACTTAAAGGATATACTGGAGTGACTACATTTTGTGGGCAATTGCACCAGCCAATTAGTGCACAGCAATGTCCCACAAACAACCATAAAGTGAATGAACAATTTTATTTTGGGGATTGTACAGGACACCAGGAGAAACTCCCTTCTCTTTTCAAGATCTTTAACATCTACCTGGACATGCAGACTGTTCCTCGATTTAACATCTTGAAGGATGGCACCACCAACAATACAGCATACCACCAGCACAGCATTGGAGTGTTACCATTGACTGTGAGTTCAAATTCACAACGTGGAGCTTCAACCCACAGCATTTTGACTTGGGAGGCTACAATCAGTCAGGCTGACACAGAATGTGGATTTACTTAGTTCTACACACGTACTGAGAAATTAAAATTATATTATAATAAATCCTATCTCCACATATTCTCACTGAATGAACAAAACTTGGGTTAAAGTTTATTATCCTCTTAGTTCTGTTTTTTTGTGCAGAGTACTGGCAGTGTCAGATCTGAGAAGAGTCCATAGCTTTAGAACTCTATATGATTAAGTCGAGACAAATTGGAGCAATTTATATTAAAACTTAGAGAAGGTCACCTTTGGCAAAAATAAAGTTTAAGAATACTGAAATGGATGATTGTAAATATTCAGAGCAGATGGTTTTCTCTGTTTTTTTTATGGCCAAGAAAGCACCTAATATTATGCTATTTTAGGTCTTGTGTGCTATTTTTAAAGGTGCCAGTACTAAACAATTTTGCAGTTTTGTCCTGAAATGTTTTCCTTAAGGGTTGGGTTAGTAATTACGGAGCACAAATGGATAAGTCCTTTCATACTAATTTGTAAAACAGTCATCTAACAACACTTCTTCATTCATCACTTTTTATGCCTCTTTAGTCTTGCTCTATGGTGATTGACCCTTTACTCTGTCTCCTCTGTCCTTTCCCTGAACGCTACTCGGTGTTATCTATCAGGTTGGGCAACTTGTTGGATAACACAATGAGTGCCCTGCCCCTTCTCCCCCCTTCGTCACCTCTAGCCCCCGCAGTCTCCATGTCTGCAGGCTGACCATGCCCCACTAACCGCCTACCTCAAGTCTCGGCGTGCGCATCTTGGCTGCCGCCCCTGACCCGAGCGGTCCTTCCCCAAAAATGCCTCCATCCCTGCAACTCTCCCGCTCTGTCGTCCTCTCTCTTTGTCCTCCTCGCCTTCTATCCCCACTTGACCGTCCCACGGCCTCCCTCTGCTCCAGCTTGGGAATCCTCTGCCGAGCCCACCATGGAACACTGAGTGTTGGATGTCCAGCAGCAGCTACATTGCTGGATTTCCTCGAGTCCAAAATCGAGGGGATCTGTACAGCTGCCTCTTTCCTCCAAACCACCACTCCCTCCCCTTCTGCCCCCCACACTCCGACCCCTCCCTCCACATTTTCAAATCTGTCTCCCCCTCCTCTCTCATCACCACCATATCCAGCATGAAACACACCACCTGCTCCCCATCCTCACCCCTCTCCTTATCTCCCAGCTCCACCTCCTTGCCCCTCTACTGTCTGACACCATCAATCTCTCCCTATCATCTGGCACCATTCTTATCCCCTTAAAACAGCTATTATTACCCCCATCCTGATAAAACCTTGCCTGGACCCATCCTTGCCTTCTAACTACTCCAATCTCCCTTTTCTTTCCAAGGTCATTGAAAGAGTTGTCGCTTCCCAGCTTCACTCATTTCTCTCCTACCACTCCCTTCATGAGCCCCTCCAATCGGGTTTCTATTCTGGTAAACTACTCTGGTCAAGGTGACAAACGACATCCTGTCCATCTGTGCCTAGGACTCCCTCTGCCTCCTTGTCCTCTCTGCTGCCTTCGATACCGTGGACCACTCCATCCTACTCCACCATCTCTCCTCTCACCTCAACCTTCAAGGTTCTGTCTTATCTCTCACATTGCCTCCAATTTGTCTCCGCCAATAGTTTCTTTTCGAGCCCCCGTACAGTCTTATGTGGTGTTCCTCAGGGCTCTGCCCTCGTTCCCTCCTCTTCAACCTCTATATACTCCCCCTTGGTGATATCATCCGCAGACATGGGGTCAACTTCCACATGTATGCGAATGACACTCAACTCTATCTCACTGACCCCACCCTCGATTCCAGAACAACTGATGTCCTGACAGACTGTCTGCCAGACATCAAATCCTGGATGAGAGCCAACTTTCTATAGCTGAATGTCAGCAAGACTGAGGCCCTCCTGATTGGCTCGAGCCAGCACCTCTGCACCTCAGACACTGACAGCATCAGCCTCCATAACAACAACAAATTACATTTATAGAGCGCCTTTCACATCGGGAGGACGCCCCAAGGCGCTGATCCATGGATGCACACTCCACCTTACCAAGCTAGTCATGAACTTGGGCATCTTGTTCAACCCTCAATTGTATTTTCACCCCCACATCTGTGCCGTGACCCACTCTGCCTTCCTCCACCTCCGTAACATTGCCCGATTCTGCCACTGCCTCACCCCTCAGGCTGCTGAAACCCTTATACATGCATTTGTCACCTCAAAGCTCGACTACAGAAACTCCCTGCTTCGTTGGCTTCCCCCAACTCTTCCCTCTATAAGCTGCAGATCATCCAGAACTCTGCAGCTCATGTTCTCTCCCGCACCAGGCTCCGTGGACCCATCACCCGGCTCCACTGGCTCCCCATTCCCCAGAGGATAGAATTCAAAATCCTCACCTTCACTTTCAAGACCTTGCATAACCTTGCCCCCTCCTACATCTCTGACCTGCTGACCCGCTCTCAACCTGTCTGCTCCCTCCACTCAGGAGGCTCCGGCCTGCTCCATGTCTCCTGCCCGACCCGCCCTACCATCGGCTGCTGGGCTTTCAGCCTCTCTGCCCCCATCCTATGGAACTCCATCCGATAATCTCTTCACATTGCTCCCTCTCTTGCCTTCTTCAAGGCATGACTCAAGACCCTCCTTTTTGACCGTGCTTTCAGCCGCCTTCTTACCTCTCTGCCCTCCCGCACCCCAACCCTGCCCCCCCATCATCGGGTCCTGATCCCTGACTGTTCAGTGCCTCGGGACGTCCTCCCGACATGAAAGGCACTTTACAAATGTAATTTTGTTGTTGTTGTTACTGAGGATTCTCGATGAAAAATACTTGATCTTGACATGAGTAAGTTGTTAGAAGTTTAATTCAGAACTAATAAAAGCACTTAGATTAAGAGTGCTATGAATGAACATCCAGAGGTTATTATGAATGTGTTATGAATGAGGGTTTAGCTGCATTTGATGAAACACAGTAACATACAGTATTTGTACTGCTCTATCACTCTTTAGGATTTTAAAGGAAAGTCTATAGGATCGCCACCATGGTGAACTGGTACTAAATGGAGGTTAAAAGTCACTTTTATTATGTATGTATTAAAATTAACATTGAGGAAGAAGGAAATCATGGAATATTGCAAAACCTCTCACTTCTGTTCATGTCCCTCTAGACATGACCATTATTTACTTAGGAAACAGAACCATGTTTGTACTGGAATGCTTTGCCTGTCATCACCAGACACGGATTCACCTCTCTGTGGGGTAAAAATATTCTTCGACAGATGTGATCACAATAAAAGTACTCTTACCATTAATTGGGTAGAGTTCCAAAACTCCTCCAACGTCATTTCCCACGCCTACCAACTTCAGAACGGCCAAGTGACGCAAACCTTAAAAAAAAAGATTTATTCTGGCATTAATCTTGTATAAATAATGTACAGAACCACAACTAATTGATTATATGTCGAGGAAGAAATTTAACGCTGTGGGAACAATTTTGATAATGCTCTTTCTCTAATTTACATTCAAAAGTTCCAGATTAGCAAGCAACCACAGGATTGTATAACTAATTGGAACTAACGAAGAGTGTCAGAAAACAAAGTTTTCTTATAAAACACAAAATGTATAACTATAACACTTCAAAGTGCATCACAGAATTTTCTGTAAACTGTAGTGATTGTATATTTTGAAGACAAACACAGCAGTCAATTTGGATATAGCAAAGTTCCTCAAACAACTATGAAGTGGGTGACTTTTTTTAATTTGGAGATTTGTTGGCCAGGAAATCTCACTTCTCTTTTGGAAACCTTATGGAATTTTCAACATGGAAACTTTAATGTGTACCTGAACTCAGTTTAATATCCCATCTGAAGGACAGCAGCACTCCCACAGCATTGCACTGGACTGGTCTGGCACACTATTATGTAGTACCTTTCATGTCAGAAAGGTATCCCAATGCGCTGGGCAGTGAAAAGATTACAAGCAACCCGGGGGTTGGAATCAAGAGGGTTGGGGTTGGAAGATGATCAAAGGCACAGTCAAAGCAGAAGGTCTTGAGATGGACCTTGAAGGAGGCTAGGGAAAGGTTGAGGTGGAGGGACTTCAGGATGGAGTTCCAGAGGGTGGGGAGTTCTCAAGTCCTACTGTGGGGCTTGAACCCGTAACTTTCATGGCAAAGACAAGAGTGCTCCCACCTGAACCAGCATGACACCAGGCACAAGGATCCTGATCCTCAATGGACTCATTCAGATGGCCCCAGCACTTTTTCTGTTAATTTTCTCCCAAGTGGAATATGACAGCTAAATTTAATCCCGTCTTTAACTAATATACACAAATACAAACAGTGAGGTCACCGAATAATAGAAAGACCTTACATTTTTATAAGCGTCATAGCATGTTAACAACAACAGCAAAATTATATTTGTATAGCACCTTTCAGGTCGGGAGGATGTCCCAAGGCGCTGGACAATCAGTGTTTCAGACCTGAGCTGGGGCTCTGGATCGGAGAGGGTGGAAGGCAGGTGGGGGAAGGAGGGTGAACGAAGGCACGGTTGAAGAGGCGAGTTTTGAGACGGGTCTTCAAGGAGGTAGGGAGGGCGTGAAGAGGAAAAGCAGGATGGAGTTCTGGAGGGTGGGGGCAGAGTCGCTGAAGGCCCGCCTGCCAATGGTGGGTGGGCGAGGGTCATGAAGTTGGCCAGAGCCCACTGAGCAGAGGGAATGGGCAGGTTGTTAGGGGGTTAGGAGGTCACAGAGGTAGTGGGGAGCGAGGCCATGGAGGGGTTTGAAAGTGAGGACCAGAATCTTGAACTGCATGCTCTGTGTGATGGGCAGCCAGTGGAGTCGGGCGAGGATGGGGGTGATAGGGTCGCGGAGCCTGGTGCAGGAGAAGACATGGGCTGGATGATCAGCAGCCTATCGAGGAAGGAGATTGGGAGGCTGACAAACAGGAAGTTTGCGTAGTCGAGCCTGGATGTTATGAATGCATGTATGAGAGTCTTGGCGGCCTGCAGTGTGAGACAGTGGCGGAGCCGGGTGATGTTGGGGAGGAAGGGGAAGGCAGAGGGGGTGTGGGGTGGAAAGGACAGTTGAGGGTCAAACAAAACAAGGTTCTGGACTGGCTCAGTGAGGTGGAGTGAGCATCTTCGTATGGTGTCAGTGCCTGATGTGTGGAGGCGCTGACGGGAGCTGATCAGCAGAGTCTTGGACATGTTGACGTTCAACTGAAGAAAGTTAGCTCTCATCCAGGACTTGATGTCTGACAGACATTCTGTCAGGACAGCAGTAGTCCTGGAATAGAGGGTGGAGGGAGAGAGATAAGAGTTTGGTTGTATCCGCATACGTGTGGAAGTTGACCCCACATCTGTGGATGATGTCACGAAGAGGGAGCATGTAGATATTGATGAGGAGAGAACCAAGGACAGAGCCCTGAAGAACTCCGCACAAGACGGTGCGGGGTTAGAGGAGAAGCCGTTTGTAGAGATGAAGTGGAGATGGTGTGAGAGGTAGGATCGGAACCATTCAAGGACAGAACCATGAAGGTTAAGGTGAGAGAAGAGGTGCTGGAGGAGGATAGAGTGGTCAACGGTATTGAAGGCAGCAGAGAGGTCAAGGAGGATGAGGAGACAGAAGGAGGCCTGGTTGCAGATGGACAAAATGGCATTTGTCACTTTGACCAAAGCTGTTTCCGTGCTGTGGGCGGCACGGAAACCCGATTGGAGGGTGCGAAGCTGGGAAACAATGACTCATTCCAGTACCTTGGGAAGGAAAGTGAGGTTGGAGATGGGACAGTAATTTGGGAGCAAGGATGGGTCCAGGGAGGGGTTTTTAAGGATAGGAGTGATGATGGCCATTTTTAAAGGGGTGGTAACGGCACACGGGTCGGCAGGGGTGGAAATGGCATGGTACAGGGGACAGGGAGAGGGTTATGATGTCTGTGAGTAGAGGGGCAAGGAGGTGGGGCTGCGAGGTAAGGAGAGGCGTAGGGATGGGGTCAAGCGAGCAGGTGGTTGGTTTCATGTGGGTTATATTGGTGGTGAGAGAGGAGGGGGATTCAGATTCGCAGGTGTGGAGGGAGGGATGGGGAGGGGGGTTGTAGTTGGAAGGGCAGAGGCAGCAGAGCAGATCCCCACGATTTTGGTTTCGAGGAAATCTAGCATCTCCTGCAGTTGGCATTGGAGGAGAGGATGGGCGAGGTGTGAGAGAGTGGGCAGAGGAGCCGATTGGTGACGGAGAAGAGGAGCCTGGGGTTGTTCTTTGCCTCCAAGATTGTCTTGGAGTAGAAGGACGATTTAGCGGAGTCAATGACAGAGTGGTAGGTTCTGATAAGGTCCAGCCAGATCAGATCAACAAAGCTTTGAGATGTTAATACATCTCAAAGCGCTTTACAGTAATTATCACCAGGCATAGTGACTGGTTTTGTCGGCAAAAGTGCAGGCAATACCATGAAGGAGCACATCCCCTGACTGATTTTCTTAGCCTGACGGCACTGTCGTAATGCCCAGCTAAGATCAAACAACTCATAATTTGTATGGCTCACTAGTCAGGAACATTTATTCACTGAAGCACTGAACCATCAAGGGAGCCCTAAAATGTAGTTTTTTTAACATTATGAATTAAGTTTGTATGTTAATATGTCAAAGTTTGTTCAAGAGTAATTGATTGCAGGAAACTCCCAGCAACTGCAATCCTGCCCTGATAAAAGCCACTCTCGTGCACGGATTAATTTCCATGTCAGCTCCAAGAAATGAAGTACGTTGTGGTTCTTTCTCTTTTTTCAGTTTCAAAGGACAAGTTATGATAGAAATGAAACTCAGATTGTCTGAATAGTAGCTCAAGCTATTAACTGGGCTTTGCTGTAGAGTTAGAAAATTCCTGTGTTGTATTTTATAGGTTTTGTATGTTCCGTTAAAAGTATGTTATTTAAGAACAATTTCTATCCACATTTCCCAGTCTGGCATTAATTAGTCATGGCAGAAATCCAGATTCTTGTGAATTTCATGACACACAGCAAATTTAACATGTTCTTCACAGAAATCAACCCCAAAACTATTGTTACAAATGATTTAAATGCAACATAAAAATGTAATAATAGTTTTACCACAATTGATGCATTTTAAACCTGCAAACCAGCCTAATGGAAGCTCATTATAATAATAATCCTTGCATTTGATATAGCACTTTTCATATCTTCTAGACGTCTCAAAGCGCTTCACAGAATATACTGTAAAGTGAATTGACTGTATATTTGCGGTCAAAACACGGCAGCCAATTTCGCACAGCAGTGTCCCACAAACAGTCGCAGATTGAAAATGGCCAATTTTTATTATTTTTTTTGTTTTGGAGGGATTATTATTAGGCGTGTGGAATAAGAAAACTAGCCCAAGGTTTTGCCCTGCCTGGAATTGAACCCAGGTGTTTCGCTTGCTGGGCGACTACTCTAACCACTGAGCTAAAGGCCTCCACATTATAATGAGTTGTGTTTTTTAAAGTGTCATGTAATAAACCCTTTTCAGAGAAGAGGAGCTGAAACTTTGAGTAGATGGGCCACTGATGTGAAGGTCTATTTTTCCAATCCCTAAAGGTTTGCATTTGTGAAATGCATTTGAGTTCCTGCTACACTTATAGCACAAGTATGCAAGGTGCTCCGGGTCATTTTTTATATATAAATTTCACAGAGATGGACCTTGAGATAGAAAGGCACATTGGAACTGGGTAAACTCAAATTCCAGTGAGTGACAGCAACAGCTGATACCTCATGGGTTATGTTCTCTAAACACTGCTCACTGATCTATGTTTATCCTCTCTACCATGTGCATGTTTTGTACATGTATATATATGTACTCTGAACATAGCATAGGAATGTGCAAATTGAAACAACTATTATGATCTGTCTGCAGAGTCTCATATTCCAAATGTCATTGTGCCACTTGCACAAAGTAGATTAACAACTGGAACAAGTTGCCAGGAAGGGTGCTTGAAGCTAGGAGGTTGGACACACTTAAAAATCAATTTGATGTTGTGATAGGAGGATATAGAATGGGCATTCTGGAGGAATGAGATCAGATGGGCTAAAGAGTCTTCATCATCTGAACCAATCTTGTGATGTTTTGAAGATCACTGTGTATTTTTTACTCTGGCTTTTCACTCACTGGATGATATGGATGCGTTGCAGAGGCAACACAAGGTATAACATTGAAAGTCCTGAAATTTCACCTAGGCTGAGTCTATAAGACCATTTAGTCTTAAAATTTAGGATCACAAATATTGTGGAAAATTCTTGGAACCCTGTTTTCCGCCATTCTTTGAAAGAACCAGCTTTCAAATTAAGGCTGAATTCAGGGTAATATGGTCGTATAGACTATAAGAAAGACTAGGAGGAATTTCAGGCCTCAGGCATATTTGGGGCTAGGAAATTTAGCCTTGTTGCTGACAGGCAGGCAAATCGATCATGAAAAAGTATCACACGAGCATTGACTGCAATTGTTCGTGTTCTTTTCTGAATAAAAAAAATCAAGTGATTAGTGGTTAAAATAGCAAAATATTTTTTAAAAAGGTGGATTTTGATTTACTGGCATTAACCCTCTCACAATGAATTTATTCAGTTAGCCTGCTGGATCTCACCTAGTTGACAGGCCTGTATACCCAAGGCAAGCAGCTGATCTTGGTAGGCCCACTCTTCATCAGAGGGGGTGGAAATAATAAACAAACGTCTCCTCCAACGGAACCTGAAGAGAAAGAAAACAAATCATTGAAAACAATTATAACTGCAGAGAGGTAGCCAATGCTTGTTCTGGTTGCAGGGCTTCTGCTACCAGATGGTCTCAGAGGCCCTAAGAAAACCTATAAATTATCACTGGGGTAAAGACAAATGAGCTCTGTGCTCCGCCACAGTGTATATTAACTTAAACCAGAAAGCAATTGTGCTTCCCAATTACCACCACACACTTTTCATGCAGTGAAATATGAAACTTTGAGGAAAGTAACTTGTAGAAAGAAAGTTAGTAGAAATAAGAAGCGTGAATTGCATTACCTTGCATTGCAGTTTGGTGCAAATCAATTCTGACTTTGCTCAAAAATTGTTTCTTTACGGTTTACGTGACTGTCTGTTTAAAAATATCATTACTAACCATTACTAGAGCTCTGCGAATGTGTTTAGTTACACAGAAGAATAAATTGAACTTCCTGCTCCTTAATGCTTTACTGCACCAAGTGGTATTGCTGAGTGGGTAAATGTCCTGTGTAGTGTGGCACTTGGTTACACAGAACAGGAAGGTCTGCATTAGCTGATCTCAGCCGGGCAGCAATTGGATTCATGCAGTTTGCCTCGGGATAAGGAAGGAGATCAACATCAGCAGCATCGTCAGATCTTTCCTGCTGCTTCCGGGATCATGGGATCTGGGATCACGGGCATCATCCACATTTTCCTGGATGCAGGCAAGCTGGGCTGTCAGTGTTACCATAGAGACCACAATTATTGAAATAACATTGCCAGTCACAGTGAGAGGAAGCTCTGGAACCACAAAATATAAGAACAGCATATTCATGCATTTGGGGCTCTTTCTGATTCCACAGGATAAACAAGTGGAATCCGCAGCTCCTAGTTTCAAGGTACTTCACAGCATCTTCTCTCTGACCACGGCATGAATGCAACACACAAAAACTCCTTTTATACCCAGACATACCTGGACAAGAAATGTTCTAGTGATCTAGGCTTGTCCTCTTTCTTGCATATCAGACCTTCTTTCTTCTGCTTCTCCATTTCTGTGATCCTTGTTGTGAAGGTGTCAATGAAGTCAAACACGGCTTTCATTGCGATTGGTACTTCATAGTATTGCTGTGAATGTATAGAAAGCAATTCATAAATTCATAGAAATTACAGCAAAGGAGAAGGCCGTTCTTCCTACTGATTCTAAACTAATGCTGGTGCTGGCTCATCCACTGGACCAAACTACTCCAATCCCCTTGATCTGAAGTTCCATGTAGAATATGGCCTGAATCAACATGAGTATGGAACCCATGTAAACTGTGTCACATAAATGGAGGAAACCTATCGATCTGCATTCCTTTTATATAAGTCATTGGGGTGAAAAATGTGGTATTCCACAACAGAGTTACTAATAACTACACTTGAAATTAGAGTCTCTGATATCTGCACTAATTGGGACTGGTCATATTGTGGACATGAAAACTAGGTGGAAAACTGTATATTTGTGTGTGTATGTCTCTCTCTCTACCTCGGGCTGCCATTTCAAAGTTTGGTAAAATCATATATGTGTATGACTAACATTTTTATCAACATTAAGGCTGAACTTCACAACAGAATAAGCCTTTGATGTGGATTAGCAGCCATGTGGCTAATCTGCGTGCAGTTGTGTTACATTCTGCGGCAATCGCTAATGGTAGAGATTAATTTAAAAAAGGGCAATTTAAAAAAATAGCAGTGGCACAGGCATGACAGGTTAAATAGCTCTCTTTCTGTGTTGAACATTTGTATGTTTCTGTGTTGGCAATCTTCTTATTGCATGTCGAACCAGCTTATTACAGCTTATGACATTCTTCAGTCCATCATTATTCAATGTTTTAGAAATGTGATAACTGCAAATTCCTTATTAAGAAATCTGTTATGAAATACCACAAACTGGACCTGGATATTTCGAGGTGAGATGCCAGCAGAGAAGGTATTCCCATGAGGTAAATGGGATTCAAACTTGGGTTGCAGAGGCAAAACAAAGCACCGACTCATTTGCATTACCAATCCTCTCAGCCACCCCTTCTTACAAAAAACAGGAATTTAAAGTGGTTTTGTAAGTTCCTTCCAATTGCTGGGCGCATTTCTGGTTCAAGTGACACTGTATTGGGTTTGAACAAGCCACACTCAGGGCAGCAACTGACCCATAATTTTTGTTTGCATTGCTGATTTAAGTTCACTGTTTCAACAACAATCTTCCACAAATGTCTGCAACTCTTTGAATGAAGTGACTCCAACTCTGCAAAAGTAAATCAACAACAACAACAACAAAATTGCATTTGTATAGCGCCTTTCACGTCGGGAGGACGTCCCAAGGTGCTGGACAGACAGACTTATGGACCCGAGCTGAGGGTCGGATGAGGGGAAAGTAAAAGACAGTAAAAGACAAACAATAATCCTGAGTAATTGACAGTTCAAAAAAGCAACAAGTTTAAAGCTGCCACACCTTCGACAAGATACACATGGCTGGTCAAAACTATCCAGTGAAAGGCTCAGGATACAGACGTTAAGAGTCTGTTAGGTTTTATTAAAACCGGATGCAGAATCATATTGAATCCTGTAGGGTTGAACAGCAATGGAATAATTTTACTAAGATAACTTAACTAAATCCCCCCAAAAATCTTCTGAAACTGATCTGAACCTGACAAGCTTAAGGTTTTAGCTGTCAGACTCAGCCTGTGATCACCACACGTTCAGTCAGCATGTGTGAAAGGATGAGTTATACTGCACCTTAGTTTTCATGTCAAAATCCGCCAGCACCATGAAGAAATCGTTGTTCGTCATCCCATATTCTTTGCGAAGTTCAGTTATGAGGTTCTGGTCCAGAAGTTCATTGTCTCCAATCACTTTCATGGGCTTTTCATTGTCTTGAAAATAAACCACGTTTCACCCAAACTAAATAACTTAAGCGAGTAGCCAAAACAAGTATCGCTACCAATGTCCCGACATAGGCAAAAGAGTTCTTTCTTAGAAAGAAAAATATTCCTGATACTGTATAAACAAAATGAGGATTGGCAGTAAATAACAGGGCTGCCATGCGCTTTTCAATAACACTTTATTTAAAAAAAGCTCTAACTTATATGGAGACAGTTAGACTCCTTGACAACAGTGTGATCAGGAAGACAGACAATAATCTGCCACAGATTTGAGTATTGCAACTGGTAACAGTTTAGTCTTCTTTATATATATGGAATTAAAATCATGTAGCAAAATGACACTATCAGCAGAGTTGCCTCACAGAATTACACCTTCAGACATTTCCAAGTAAGACTAATAAATTAGTGCCTAAGAGAGAAAGAAAAAGGCAGCGATATTAACACACTTCACTCCTGTCAGCTCTGGTGGCAAAGATAATAATAATCCTTGCATTCGATATAGCACATTATCGAGCCTTTGAGACATCTCAAAGTGCTTCACAGAATAGACTGTAAAGTCAATTCGCTGTATATTTTGTGGGCAAAACGCGGCAGCCATTTGCGCACAGTAGTGTCCCACAAACAGTCATGGATTGAAGTGACCAATTTATTATTATTATTCTTTTGAAGGAATTATTATCCCCAGAAAAGCGATCCACCAATCGACTAACTACCAGGTTCCTACTTACTGCTAGGTAAACAGAGGCGTGTGGAGTAACAAAACTTGCCCAACATTTCGCCCCACCGGGAATCAAACCCAGGTCTCTCGCTTGTGAGGCTAGTGCTCTAACCACTAAGCTACAAGACTGATTGAAAGTCAATCGGAGGTTTATCATTATAAGATGCCTTATGATGGTCAAGTAAGAGATAATCCTAGAGAAGGAAGAGAAGAAGTACTGACCTAGTTGGAAATGATCAATTTTCATGGTGCTGTTCATCAGAGACCCGAATATGGTGATAATGGAGATTTTTCTTAATGCCATTTCACAGACAGATTCTAAGAACTCATCTCGCTGCTGTACATACATGTTGTTTTTCTCATTTGGAGAGGTCATAAGCTATGGGGGGAAGAGAAGTGCATAGTTACAACATGAAATCACCTGATGTCTCAGCGTTCAGGAATGATGACATTTAGGAATTCAGTCCTCTGAAAGCTTTGTGAGGTAATGTTTTGTGTATCTACAATTCTCAAACAATGTATTCATTCTCAGTCTAACATTGTAAGAAGCTACTTTAAGGGCGTTAGAACAACAACAACAAATTATATTTGTATAGCACCTTTCACGTCAGAAGACATTCCATAGTGCTGGACGGTCAAGAACTTGGTCAACGATTATTTAACAAAATTCACGGAAAATATTTGTTTGTTTACCAATACAATATGCAACAGCATAAATGTTGTCAAATGCATCATCATGCAATGTCATTACAATACAATTTACATTTATATAATGCCTTTCACAACACAAAGCACTAAAATGCTTGTGTGCAAATGCCAGAAAATCCCTTTCTTCATCTACCCTAAATCATAAAGAGGTGAATGGATTTTGGCTGGCATTTTCTAAACAGGGAATTAATTGCTGGGAGCGATAGGATCAAAAGCGCCATTTGTCTGGTTCAATACCTGCAGCAGACAACATTTTAACAAATTTGGGGGGCGGGGGTAGATGCCTTACTTTCTCCACATCAGTCATCGACTGGGACATTCTGAGAGTGAAATGTACCAAGGTGGAACAATTATCACCGGTGATAAGTATCATATCCAATACTGCAATTTCTCCTATGTTTTTCAAACATTTTGTTTAATGAAGTCACTACCCCTTTAATAGACTAGCTGCTGTCTGCACCCTTTCCATATTAAGGTCAGTACTGAACTCTTCCTGACACCTGTGACAGCAGCTATTGTGAGAGTCAAATATCTGGAAGTGCAAAGAGAGCGGGAGCTTATCTAAAGGGGAAGGACAAGGAGACACACTCCTTCACTGGTGGAATAAATTCTCTCTTCAGAGAAGGGTTGCGGGGTTCCACCATTGGCCTTGTAAGTTTACCATTTAATACCCACTATTTGTTTTTTACATTGTATGCAGGAAAACTAGTAAACTTAAAAAAACTTACGTTATTAACTTAGTCAATCTTTAAAAATTAAAATCATGCAGAATTTAGGAGAATGCCCTTAAATTCAGTTTTAATTGGAAAGCCAGTTTTCCATAGTTCTTCCTTGAGTGTGCGGAAAGCCAGCTTCCAAAATTCGTATTGAATTTAAAACTATTTTCCCAAAATGCCGCAAGATCTTAAATTTTCAGACACGTCTTAAGCCTAAGGATTTGAGAGACCCCCAATTGGGCCGAATGGCCTGTATCTGTGCTGTATATTCTAATGTATTCTAATATATAAGTTTTATAGATGTAAGAAGCAGAGCTCCACCATTGGCCTCATAAATACTTCTATAGCAAATAGGAGCTTGCGAAACTTCAGAATCATTCAGGGCCTCTTACTCATTGATGCTCTTCATGATACAATGTTAGGATGTGAACTGTCCCACCCTATTCACACGATAGTCTGAGAAAGCTCAGTAAAAGCGTTTCCCTTAAGAGTGGATGGAAATTAAAGGGTAATTCAACCATTCTGATTAATGATAAATAGAGCCTATGAAGAGGTTTCCTCCCATGTCCCCCCACCCCCAGTTCGGACCCAAAAAGGGAGTAAAGGTGACACATTTCAATTGGAACCCTAACTCAGAACATATGTCACATTTTGGAGCCAAGATCCATTTTAACTAAGTATAGTTCACTTGCCTGACCTCACAAATTCTCTTTTGGGTTCCTGTCAATGACACAACCAGGATCCAGGGATAAAGAGCAGAGATCAGTGACATGATCAACATACCAAATGTCACCTAAATCAATCTCTTCTAAAAAAAGGGAAATATCCCTCATCCACTCCCCCCCTCCCATCCCAAAAAATGCTATTGTTTAGATGTAGGTATCTTTTGAATCCCATCTACCCATTGTGGTAACATAATTGAAGGACAAGTGTGGGACACTGATTATTTAATGGAATACGTTTGAATGTCTTACAAGGCATTTTTATTGGCTTCTCATATACACTTACGTAAGCTGTGCATGGCAACATCTTGGATCCATCTCTTCACACCTTCATTTAACTGCTTTTAATGTGATTTATGCATTCTGGATTCTTTCCCTGTGAGATTTCTTCACACATTAAGCCAGAAGTCCAGATTCAGCCATAAAACTGTTGCATTTGAATTTCTTCAAGTGTATTTCTGAAATAACTGTTCCAAATGATGTGTGGTCCTTTAAATCTTTTTAAAGACCTGATATCTGTTCTGAAACCTTACTTGGCAGATATCATTAGTGATATTGGAACAAAGCTCTGGTTTGCTTTTGTAAAGATTTTTTTCTTGAGAGAAATGGATCATCACTGTACTTTAATGCTTCTACGGACAATCAAGCAGCTTGCTACGCACACTTTCCAGGCAACTAACACTTTAATACGAGTTATGCAAGCAGAATGGAATGATTTGCCATGGATGGCTGTTAGCGCAGAGACAATTGGGGCCTTTAAAAATAAATTAGATAAACACATACACAGGAAGGGTATTAGACAGCATGGGGAAAGAGCAGGGAATTGGGAATAGGATGGATAGCATTTTGGAAGAGCAAACACTTGCAAGGAAAACCTGGGCTAAAAGGCATCTTATTGTGTTGTAAATTTCTATGGTTCTGTAAAATCTATGATTCAAAATAATAATTCTCACAATAATTCTTGCATTTGGTATAACACCTTTCACATCTGGAGGATGCCTCAAAAGACCTTCTTGGGAGTTATTGTGAAGTGAAGCATTTCTTGTATTTGTAGGCGAACGTGACAGCCTATTTGCGCACAGCCATGAATGACGAAAGACCAATTTTTTTGTCGGCCAGGACACTGGGAGAAACTCCCTTCTCCAAATTAGCTTCTTGTAAAGACAATCTGTGCAAAATTGTGATCTCATGTGATTTGGGTCACTTTAAACAGTTTAGCTGCAGGTCAAATATCAAACAGTATTTTAAGTAAACCAGCTGAGTGTCATTATTAAACCATTTGAGTGTCATTATTAAAATGTAACTTAATGAGATTCTGTGGTTTTACATTTTACTCACAGACAGTAACCTTGGAAAGGATTATCCAATTGAATTAACCAGAGAAGAGTTTATAGTTAAGAAACAGTTTTACTTGAGATTCTTATGAAATTGTCCTGTGATTTTTAAACTTCAAATGTTGCTAAATGTAAAGAAAAAAAATACTAACATCAAGGATTCAAAGTTGGCTTGTTGAAACAACAACTGATTCAGTTCTATAATGATTAGCATTGCAGAGTGTGATGTTATGTAAAAAACAACTCAAGCAAAATGTTGAGAAATTTAAATATTTACACATTGTGATACCACTGTTTCCCTGACCCTTTTTGTTAAATATGAAAGAAGAACATTCGGTTTGTAAGACTCACAGGAAATCAAGAGGAGATAATCACATCTGTTCCACCATTCCACCATTCGTGTAACATCTAAATAAATCAGCATTTTCTACTCACTTCATTGGCCTTACTGTTATGAGCCTTTGTTTTTGAATCTTGTACTGAGCATAAAATATTATCTTGCATCCGAATTTTCTAAACTCTTCATAATCCTAAATATCTCTATCCTTGCTCAATCTGCTCTAGAATATCCTAGTATGGTCAATCTTTCCTCATAGCTCTGCTTCCTCAATTCTAGCATGTTTTAGTTAACTGCATTACTGTTAAAAGGAGTAAATGGCTTCAGTGCTACTGTAGTGGTTTGCTCTGAAAGGTGCAGCACAGAAATTTACTTCAAGATCAAAATAAAGAGTTCATAATAAAACAAAACTATGGCACTAACAAACAAAATATTCTTCTTTCGTATTCAAGACTATTCTTTCATATTCGTAAGAGAGAAGGACCTAACAAGACAGATGTATCACTGCATTGTGAACACATCCACCACATTTGTGTGCAGTGAGTGTCACGAACCGAATGAACGCACGGCTTACTCTCACCAGCCAGGAAACAGAGCGAGGGTTTCTTACACAATAACTTACTAGTAGTCGCCGACGATTTTCAAAGTTGTCGAGAAAGGATTCCAATGGTGTAGCAGCAACTGGAGCTGGAGTCTTCCTGAATTTCTTTAACTCCTGTTTCTTGTTTGTCTTTTTTTTAGTGTTAGGACTGGTTGCCTTCAAAGCCTTAAGTTTCTTCACGGGTTTCGGCTTCTTTTTCGGTTTTTGGATCTTGAGTTTTTTCTTAGTCTTCTCGGGTTTGGGCTTCTTCGGACGCTTGTCTACTTTGCCCTGCTTCTTCTTCACTTTCCTCGGTGGCACTTGTCCCACTTCAACCTCGCCTCCAATGTTTGCGGCGGTTTTCTTGAGGTCATACCTGTCTTCATATTCGTTGGTCAGGATTTTGTTGTTGGTGGGCTTTGTTTTGGGCGGTTTGACCTTGGTGGGTTTGCGTCGAGAGGGGGATACTTGTGGGTCCTTACGCTTATAATCACCCTCCTTTCTGTCAGTACGGTTGTCTTTGTATTTTCCTGTCTGTACCTTCGTGTAGTACACTGGAGTGACTGTTGTCTCTGGAGCAGGTGACGAAGGACTGAGGCCCACAGCTTTTGTGGATTTGCTGGGAATAAGCCTGTTCCAGTCTGTGGTGGCTGCCACTTGGTGCTTATCCCTACGAGGGTCACCTGTTGATCTGGTTTGAGTCTCGATGACTATTGGTGGCCTGTGAAATTCTGGGATGGGATGTGACAGTGTTGTATGAGACCCTGTGAAGGAGGTGTCAACGTGTCTCTCAGAACCAATGGTGGCAGGCACGGTTGCGGTGGGCACGGTTGCGGTGGGCACGGTTGCGGTGGGCACGGCTACCGTTGTACTGGGAGCAGGCGGAGGGCTGGTTGTTGTAACAGTTGACATAACAGTCGTGCTCTCTAGCCTCGAGCTCCCATGTGGCATCCCAAGTGTCCGGAATGGCTTCCTGACGAGAAGCTTTTTCTTTCTCACTGGCCCCCTTTCTTGCCTGGTCTCCTTTTGACGTGTGACCTGATGGGCGCTCGGGCTGGTGGGCACAGGTTTCGGGTCTTCTTCTTCTCCTCCTTTCTTCCTCTTGCCTTGTGCGGCCCCGACCACCTGGCCCTCCAGTCCGGCTCGCTTGCATCTCTGCACAAAGCCAGTTTGCCTCATCCTCTCCAGTTTCCTGATGGCCCCCTGGTCTATCACCTCATACATGGCCTCCAGCCTCACCGGGTAAGGGTAGTGCTCCTCCACCTGCAGGTTCTTCCTGAGCAGCACCATGCCGAATTTCCCTCTCTCCAGCTTCAGGTAGTCCATGAGTTTGGGGATGGCACTGCCAGGCAGGGCTTCCTCCAGGATCTTGCCCTCACTGGTGATCTTCCTGACTTTGCCCGCCGCCTGCCCTTCCCGGTGGAACAGCAGGATCTGGGAGACGTGCCTCTCCGCCAACTCGCAGTACACATCATCCTTCAGCAAACTGAGCATCAGCCGGTAGTAGCCGTCGGCCGGGCCGGGGGCTGAGATGACCCAGACGCGCTGCCTGCCCGCCAGCCCTGCCAGCACTCCGGGAGTGGCAGTAGCCTGGAAGCGCGCTGCGCGGCTCCTGGCGGCGGCCGCAGCTCTGCCCGGGACCCTCCGCACCTTCCAGGGGTGAGACCGGCCGTCGTCCCTCTGCACCGAGCCCCGGCCTGACCGCGGGCCGCCGGCCGCCCAGGTCCTGCCCGGCCGCCGAGCCCGGAGCAGGGAGCCGCCGGGCAGCCTGACCGCCCCGCCCGCGCCCCCGCCCCCTGCCCGGCCCCTCGCCCCCCTGCCCGGGCTGCGGGGGGCGGAGGGCGAGCCCGGGGCGCACAGCAGCCACAGCCACAGCAGCCACACCATCGGGAGGAGAGGCGACCCCCGCATCTCCCTCTCGCTCTCCCTCTCACTGCCCTGTGAGCAAACCCCCGGCCACAGCTGCGGACACGGCCACCGCTCGCTGACCACTCGCTGTCCCACCGCCGCGGCTTCTCCTTTGCTCTCACTTTTTAGGTGTGTGTGTGTGAAAAAAACACACACACACACACACACACACCTTCTTCTGGTTTCCAGTCGTGTTCGCAGCAACAAGTCTTATCCCGCGCCGCCAATGTTCTCAACTCTCGATAAACTGGTAAACACCAGTGTCCTGTCCCTCTCCCTCTCCCTGTCCCCTCTCCCCCTGACCCTGTCCCTCTCCCTGTCCCTCTCCCTGTCCCCTCTCCCCCTGACCCTGTCCCCTCTCCCTGTCCCCTCTCCCCCTGACCCTGTCCCTCTCCCTGTCCCCCTGACCCTGTCCCTCTCCCTGTCCCCTGACCCTGTCCCCCTGACCCTGTCCCTCTCCCTATCCGCCTCTCCCTCCCCTGTCCCCTCTCCCTGTCCCTCTCCCTGTCCCCTCTCCCTGTCCCTCTCCCTGTCCCCTCTCCCCGGCTCCCGGTCCCCCTGTCCCCCTGTTCCAGGCTCCCTGGCTCTGCTCCCTGTTCCCCTTGTCCCTGTCCCCTGTCCCTGTCCCCTGTCCCTGTCCCCCTGTCCCTGTCCCTGTCCCCTGTCCCTGTCCCCCTGTCCCTGTCCCTGTCCCTGTCCCCTGTCCCTGTCCCCCTGTCCCTGTCCCCCTGTCCCCCTGTCCCTGTCCCCCTGTCCCTGTCCCTGTCCCTGTCCCCTGTCCCCCTGTCCCTGTCCCCCTGTCCCTGTCCCTGTCCCTGTCCCTGTCCCCCTGTCCCTGTCCCCCTGTCCCCTGTCCCTGTCCCTGTCCCTGTCCCCCTGTCCCTGTCCCCCTGTCCCTGTCCCCTGTCCCCCTGTCCCTGTCCCCTGTCCCTGTCCCCCTGTCCCTGTCCCTGTCCCCCTGTCCCTGTCCCCTGTCCCTGTCCCTGTCCCCTGTCCCTGTCCCCCTGTCCCTGTCCCCCTGTCCCCTGTCCCCTGTCCCCTGTCCCCCTGTCCCCTGTCCCTGTCCCCCTGTCCCTCCCTGTCCCTGTGTCCCTGTCCCCCTGTCCCTGTCCCTGTCCCTGTCCCCCTGTCCCTGTCCCCCTGTCCCTGTCCCTGTCCCTGTCCCCCTGTCCCTGGTTCCTGAGCACAGACCCTCAGAAGCAGCAGTTGACCTGTGATGCCATGTCGCTCGGTCCCTCAGGGAATCTCTCTCACACTGTCGCCGAGTATTTCAGTCGGTCACTCCCCCGGTGCAGTGTTTTCCAGGTCGGCTCTGGGATTGTCGGGAAGCGCTTCCCTGTGACCATTGCTGTGGGTGAGTAACTCTCTGCGATGTGCGAGCCGAGCCGAGCCGAGCCGATGGCGGGTGTGTCTGTTTCCCCCTCTCAGCGCTCTCACACAGACACAAACCACATTTGCTCATTTCTTTCCCAAAGACGTCTGTCTGACGGGTTTCCAATCGCCGTGATCCCAGACTGCGTCCACCCCCCCAGCGTGTCCAGGCAGCGTTTTGGGAAGGAGGCAACGGATCTGAAGCACAAAAAGTCGTCCCCTCGGTTTTATTCAGCGATTTCTTTTTCGGACGAGGAGGCGATCCCAGGAAAATCACCTCCACTTTCCCCCCCCCCCCCCCCCCCCCCCACACCACCCCTTTTCCCTCCTCTCTCTCTCCCCCAGGATCCGATCCCGAGATGTTGCTCAGCACTCTCTGAAATCCACTCTGTGAAATCCACTCTTGAAGGAATTAACAGATCTGCTCAACACCGCCTCCCCTTCCACACACCACTCCATCCGCACTTCCCAGTCTGGAAACCTGACCCACTCACAGTACATCATGATGGATGAAATATTACTGGGGAGACTCCCAGGGCTTATCCATCACATTGAGTGGCCAGACTGATAGGCACAGGATTGTTCCATTAACTCCAGGACAGCCCATATGGATCCTGTAGCTCAGTGGTTAGAGCGCTCGCCTCGCAAGCGAGATTCCCGGTTTGATTCCCGGGCCGGGAGAAACGTTAGGCAAGTTTCCTTACTCCACACACCTCTATTTACTTGGCGGTAAGTCGGAGCCCGGTTGTTAGTCGATTGGCGCTTTTCCGGGAATAATAATCCATTCAAAATAAATAAATAAAAATAATAAGAATTTGGTCACTTATCCTACGATTGTTTGTGGGACATTACTGTGTACAATTGGCTGCTGCGTTTTTCCCACAAAATATAAAGTCAATCCACTTTACAGTATATTCTGTGAGGCGTTTTGAGACGTCTTGAAGATGTGATGAGGCGCTATATCAAATGCAAGAATTATTATTACTATTATAATATATATAGAGAAAGAGCCAGTAACCAGAGGTTGTTTAAAAACATTATAAAATAATTCAGCATTACTTGAAATATGTGTACAGTAAACCTCATATAAGTCAGATTAGTTGGGGTCATACATTCAATATGACTTATGCAAAGTATGAGTTATATCAAACTTGCATTAAATATTAACTCTTGAACACTTGGGTGGATGTATGACTTAGGCATATATATGATTTATACAGATCAGACTCAGGCGAGTTTTACTGTATTTCTCATCTACTTACTGGTTCTGTATGTCATGTCAGGATTTGAATTCCCAAGTCTAGACTGACACGCCAGAGCAAAACTGAGAGAGTTCTTCGTTGTTCCATGACTTGTTGATCTGTTCAGATGGATCTAAATGATTCCATGTAATTATCCCAAAAGAGAAAGGCGTTTCTCCAGCTGTCCTGGCCAAGAATCCTGCAGATTAATTGGTCATCATGGCTCTTCCTGAAACCTTGCTGATGCAAATGCCTGTTTCATTTACCACCAAAAACAGTCACTACACATACTCATTTCTAAAAAGGCTGTCGTCAGTTTCGAATCACCAGAATGTGTTAATTTTTCCAGTGTTTCCAAACCGCGTTGTAAAGAGAAAATGAATGACCATGTGTAGTGACTCTTGAGATGACCTCACTCCACGTTACCTGTGAAACACTGAGATTTTTTGATGCGATTCAGTGCTATAAAAAGATCAACTTCTTTTATTCTGCTTTGCTTGTTTCTTCCTAACTTCACAATCTATTCATCACATTAATTAAAAATAACTCTGTTTCAAAACTATATTTTTTTTTCAGAGTGACTTCCATGTATTTTGATCTTCATTCTGATATGTTGCATTTTCTGTACCAGTTCCTGCTGCGAAACATTATACCAACCTGCAGTGTATTCCATTGTGGTCCTCCCGACGTCCTGCGCTATACAAATGTAATCTTGTTGTGGTTTCCACAAACCTCCAAAACATCTTAATTGTGGAACTTAACACGGATGTCAAAATTGAGGTATTCCTAAATGCATTCTATTCCTTAATTATGACTGGAATTTGCATTCCCAGTGGTTAGAAGCTCACCACTGTTTGCTCGCTGTTTAAGATGATTAAGCTCCAGCAGCACCCCAGTGCGCACACTGGAATCCCTAAACCTTGGCAATCCTGAGCACAAACTGTCCAGGATTAAATAAACAGGCTGGGTTCTGGGGACAGAATATGCATTCCATGCCAGACCAACAGAAACAATACATCTAAATCACTTCATTTTATGATGTCAACTGACCCTCAATCAAAAACTTGTTATCATTCCCAGGGATCCATTATCGTCTCTATTTATTACTCTTCCAAATTTCAATGTTATCAATTAAACAGAAAAGACATTCTCACACCCACTGTAAAACAACAGCTTGTTACGTTTTTCTTAAATTTTATATATTACAGATCCTGCTTTGACCATTACTCCCTGACCAAGAGTAGAAGCAGGCAAGCTTCTACTGGGCCTCACTCAATGCCGTTCTTGAATGAGGGCTAATCTAGGCTGACACTCTAGGAACCACTAAGCGCTCCCTTCAGATGTGATATTGATCGTGTCTGCCTGTTCTATAGGTGAATGTTAAAGATCTTGTGATTGTATTCAAAAAGAAAACAAATTTTCTCCTGGATCCTGGCTAACAAACCTCCAGATAAAATTGGCCATTACCTTTATAACTGTTTATGGAATATTACTGTGTGGAAATGGGCTGCTGCATTCACCTACAAAATGCTACACTTTGCAGTAAATCATGTAAGCCACTTTGAGATATTTCAACAATGTGATAAGGTACTATATTTATTATTGTTATTATTATTTAGCCCAGTGACATTTGTAAGATCTTGCTTTGTGCAAAATAGTTAATACATTTGGATACAAATAATGTCACTTTACATAACCATTGCACTTTGAGACATTTCAACGTGAAAAGACGCTTTGGGAAATGAAACAAGTTCTTTCTTCCCCAGGTATACAGGAGGTTGGTTTGCTCTCCCTGAGGTTAGTTTTCTCCTTCTCACAGCCTCCTCCAGATGGTGCTCTGAGATTGAAATTTGGTTTGAGAGTGATGGGTACAAATCTGTACCCTCTCACTATGGCTCACTGTGACTCAGCACTTTGACAATACTGTCTGCAGGGCGCTGAGGAAGACTTTTAGCAAGAAAGATATTTGGATATTTTAATTCACAAACGCACATTGGCTGTGCTGTTAAATAATCACTATGCAAAGACACAAAGTAAACAGTTGAAACCTCCACAAATCTGATACACTTCAGTGCAATTAAATCAGTTTCTGCTACCAAACTTGACAGCAAATAGCAGTCAACTTTCAACAATTCCTTCACAGTTTAAACATACAAGCTAAATCTTGTGTTTTTTTTAACTAAATAACACCAGCGTGCACAGCAGTTTTTCTTCAATTTAATGCTGATTTGTGCAGTTAATGCGATTTGAGTGCTGATTCACATGATCTCCGTTCTTCTGTCTGTGTCCAGCATTGACCCAGCAGCCACTCTCTCAAGTGACTGTGAAGCTTTCAACTTAATTGTCCAACTTTCAGCATCATAGACT